AGAGAGATAGTGTCTCCTGCCTCCAAGAAGGTATACAGAATTTCCCAGCATTCTCAGGAGAAGGCCATACCCACACAGAGGCCTCATTGGCTATGATCCGATTGACAGACTAGACTCCACCCCTTCACTCATTCTCAAATTGACACGAGATTATGTAACTACCACGGCTCTGATATATTTCCCTCCTCTGATCTTGGATTTTATTATTTACAATCCTTAGATCACACATTTTCAACCGTTTTAGTAACATATTCATTTACTTCTTTAAGAATATTGATAATATTGTTGAGTCCTAAAGAAATAGATGTTAAAATAGCAGGCGCACATGCACGTGATGTACACACATACATACACACATGCTAGCCATTGGGACCTGTACTGGAGATTTACACCTAGAAAAGAGAACAGTGTTTCAATCATTCAAAAGGTTTTGTTCCTTATTAACATGGGGAAGCATTTTTTACAACTTATCTCAAATAGAGGTCTTTATACAATAATTTTAAAAGTTAGTTGCCCTCATTGCCAAAGTTTTTCCATTATCATAAATTACTGGTATGCTTTGCTTTATGTAATTGGTGTAATAAATCAAATAATCTTGTGATATGAAATAGTGACCACCTAATTTATCTTTTTAATATAATTTGTTCTTAATATTGCTTTCATTTACATTAGTGAAAACTCAAGTCATTTTTTTTCAAAGCTGCCTCATTTTAAACGCAAGGAATAGCTCAGCCATCAGTGGAAAAATTTGACTCATTCCGTGTAGTAGGGAGATTTTGACTGCCTCTTTATTTCATCTCTGGCTTTAATCCAACTCTTGATCTCCCAAGAAAAATTGCTTCATATTCTTCATTAACAATAAAAATTGTTTAGATTTGGGAATGAGGTGATAAGATCTTAGTATTTGATTAAAAATATAAATATCAGTGAGAAAAAGCAAGGTCATTCTTCTCAAAAAGATCAGAGGGAGCAGGACTGCTGGTCCCTGGCTAGTTCTCCCCTCACCATCCTCAGTGCTTTCTGTCACTGCACTCCATCCATATGGGGACAGTGGGGGTTCAGTGGGAGAAGTCTCACATCCCATATGGGAAACCTAGGTCTGATTCTAAGCATGTGCTCCCATGCACAGTCATACCCTGTCTGAGTGTGTGTGTGTGTGTGTGTGTGTGTGTGTGTGTGTGTGTGTGT